AGTGTTAAAACGGTAAAGTTGGAAGAAGATAGATGAAAAAAGACGAAAGAAGAAGCTGGAAGCGGCGAAAAATAAAGGAAGAAATGTAGCCCTTGGTCCGATAATTTCACTATTTATACTATGTTCAGTCTAATATAACCCGATTTGCGTTGAGTAATCTGGATCATTAGATTATTTTTTCTGTTTTGTTTGGGCCGATATGAATTTTTGAAGCCAACATTGTAAATTCGGCCAATATGAACTTTTTGAAGCCCACATTTTTCAAAAACATTCATATTTTACAAGCCCAACATGATTAATATAAATAATTACACGTATCTTATAATAAGTATTTGTTAGGTTTAATTATAATCAGTGATCCGTGCTTTATTATATAATTTAAATTTAAATACAAAATTATGTTTTAAAAAGGACGGAAATAATAAAGCCTCGTGCATCGCACGGGTACTGTACTAGTATATATAATAAGAATTACTATTTACCATAAATAGTAACTAGAAATTTTAGGACAACATTAATTGCTTACTATTTTTGGATTTTTTTTTCTTTTTTTTTTTCAACTAATCATCATTTATGAATTAGGAGGCCTACAAATTAGGTTCTAATTTGAAATACAAATTGAAATCGGATATATCCTAAAATAAAAGAATTTGTTTATTCCCTCATCATACAATCTCATATGTCCATACCATTAAATTCGGATTTTTTTAATTTTTTTTTTTTACATAAAACTGAATAAGCCGAATCAACCTTTATGACTTAGGCAGCCTACAAATTTGGGAATCTAATTTAAAATACAAATTGGAATTTGATATCTCCTAAAATAAAGTAATTTGTTGATTCCTCATAATACAATCCATATCAAAATATGGATTTTACATATTTTATACGCACATGCAGACTGCTAGAATCAATAAAAGCATTTTATCATTGTTTACTTAATTACTTATCTTCATTAAATGTTACCTTAAATTTCGGTATTTAGTTCATTTTATTATTTAAAAAATTCGGCTAAAATTTATTAAGTGTGTATGTTTTTATTTTTATTTTTTTTCTTAGAACAACGAACAACATTAAAATCTCGGTCTCTATATTTATAAAATCTCAATTCAAAATATAACAAAAGTTTTAGAATCTCGGTCTTTATATTTGTGCTTTTAAAAAAAAATATTGAACACTAAAAATATTCTTTAAATTGCATAATCAATCAATTAATCTTAATTTTTTAAAAATTACTATGTTTATTTTTTATTAATATGCATAAAGTACAAATAATTAATTCATCTTTAGGTATATAATTTATAATCATAATATACCATCATTTGGTGTAGACATTTATTATATGAATCATAAAATATTTTTATTTCATAAAATTAAATATATTTAAAGAAAATAAGAAAATTTCTTCAGATTAATGGCATGATCGACCACACAAAATCGATTATTGAACCTAGATATAAATTTTATATTAAAAATATTTTATTACGTGAATGTAATGTAGTCCAAACTTCAAATAGTCGTATTAACAATACTTTTATGACAACATGTTTAATATTTATGAATATTTATATATCATTTCATTAATATTTATGTGAATTAAATAATATTTTATTATAATATTTATTAATGTACAGTAAATATAAGGTTTTCAGAACTGGACCGTCATCGAAACGATCAAGATATTTTATTAAATCATTTGTAGTTTGTTCAGATTTTAATTTGTAAACATTTTATTATATATGTATATATAGTACTTTTTGTAATAAATTTAAATAAAATGTGTTACTTAGATGTCTAAAAAATTTATAAATTCAAATGTTTAAACTAATTGATAAATAATTTATAAATCTCTATTTTATTTAAATATGTAATTTTATTTAAAATAATTTTATATATAACAAAATTTATTTAGAAAATCGTATCGATCCTACCAGTCCAACCGACTGGTGTTGACGGATTTGAGAGCAAATATTTTATTCAAGTGAACTAGACTGGTTATAAATCGGTTCTCGGTCCATCCGGTCAGATTGTGTCAAACCCGGTTTAATTTAAAAACAATGGATAAATTATGATTAATGTTATTTATATATTTAATTTATAATACAATCGTAATATTTTTTTCCCGTACATCGCACGGGCCACGCACTTAGCTTTTAACTTTACTTGAATCATGCAATCAACTAATTAACACGTACAAAATAAAATAAGAATAAATTAGGAAGAATGCTTACCTTATAGATTTCAGACCATAATCTATACACGTCTAAGAAATTTAGAATATTTTAATCAAGCACCTACATTCCTCTTATTTTTTATTTTATTTTTTTGGTCAAATTAAAGTCTGAAAACATTTTACGTAATCTATACACATGTAAGAAATTCAGAATATTTTAATCAAAATCACTTGCATTTGTTCTGATTTTTGGTCGAATAAAGCCTGAAAACAATCTACTATCGGTCACGTTAAAGCAAAAAAAGAATCCGATTTGTTTAGTTGAAAAAAAACAAAAATTGACTCCAACTTCATTTCTTCAATTCTTTACATTTCTTATATCATGATTCCAAAAAATATTGCAATTTAATTAATGTAAGTTAATGTATTTTGATTTGATGATTATTTTTTTACTTAAACAGTTGTCCCTACAAACATATTCTGCACATCAAGCAGTGAAAGCACGTTTTCTATACAATTCTCTCAAAAAAATTTCAAACATCATACTTAGCAAATGGCAAGATTTTTCGATGCACTTCGTTTGGTCCGCAGTTTTACAAAAACATTTGAAGGTGACAAAACAAGGCCAATTGGGTTGGAACACATTTTCCACAGGTAAATGCAATTATTACATTGCAATTCAAATTGTTTTGTATAAAAGTAATTCAAATTGTTTTNAAGGTTAGCCTTTGTGGTAGAAAGAAGTGAACCAAAAACTTTCAATAATGAATTCCATAAAGGCTCACAGAACATTTTGTCCACAATACAACTTGTAAGTTACTAATTGAAGTGTACATGTTATAAATTATAATAAGCCATATCCATTAAATTAACTGGGAATAGTACCAAATATCATACATAAGTTTTTCGTGCAATGTTTAAGGGATCCTTAATCACAACAGACAATGTGCTCAAAACAAACATTAATACCTACTAAGTTAGAATGAGCATCGAAACTTAGTAAATATTAATTGTTAAGTCCATATAGTAGTTGTGCAGGTAAGTATGCACACAAAAGTTTGACTGTCAACAAAACGGACCATGCACGAGATCTTAAGCATCGATGATAGGCACACAAAAGATGTAGCTTATAGGACAAAAGAAGTGTTACTTCGGAGGCGCAGGTTCATGTGTCTTTTTTCTGTCTTTTACTCGAAGTACCAATTGTCGATTCTTGTATAGAGTCATCATATGAAACTTCTGGTCTGTTGCTTGCACTACCTGTTTGGAGTTGAAAGTCGATAGATCTTTTTGCCACTGTTCTTTTTTCTTTCTCAGGCGCAGTTGGCGATGGTGTATCGACCATTGAGGCAAGCAGTTTGTGTGCCACTGTTCTTTTTTCTTTCTCAGGCACAGTTGGCGATGGTGTATCGACCATTGAGGCAAGCAGTTTGTGTGCTGTTGGGGTTAGCTGCTCCTCCACAACCACCTATTGCGTGTTAATATACATGTACTATTAGTAATGTGTTTTTTTTTTTTTTTTAAGAATAAGTATGATGAGAAGAAACGAAAAAAGCAAAAGCAAGAGTAAATTATTTTATGGTCAAGTGTATGTAAAACCTCTTTTCCTAGTGCGTACGGGCGAACAGAAGTGTTTGTTTCTTCCATAGGCATTATAGGTTCAATGTTATCCTCATTTACATAGACAACGACAACAGCATATTGACTCATCTCTGTCCTGGTAGTCTGAAATGTAGTGACTTAGGAAACAAGTGATCTGTTTTTTTTCAAAGTTTGCTTCAACCTCCATGCAAGTTTCAAGCTGCAGATTGAAATGAATAAGTATACATACTACACAAAAGGATTTCTATTAATTTAGTATAAAGCATGGCTTGTTGCTTGCATTATTCGTACCAGAGCAATGAGATTAAGTGTTGTGCGAAAAAAATCGAGTAAACTAAAAAGAACTGTGAACTTTTTACCTGGTTTTTGTTCAAGCTCATTTGTGCTGCTGTCATTGGAAGCAACTGTTCTGCCTTTGGACCAGTAATAACAGCCTGTATAAGCCCGTATAAGCCCACTGTTGTCTTCAATTCCCAGCGTAAATCTGCATCTGTAATAAGTGTTTCAATGATATTGTAGACAATATTTATAAACAAGCTGTAAACAGCAGGTGCTTCATTTTATTATTTCAATACCTAGGTTCTACTGGACCTTCTGCTTTGCATTGAGGGCATGTTACTATCCACCCAACTTGGGCACGAAGGCCTTTCTTGCAATTTTGGCAAGCGGTGAACCAGTAAGATGTTTGGCCATATGTAAGAACGGCCTTTCCTCGCACCCATGCCGTTTTCAACTAAACACATTGAATATAATTAAATATTTTTTGAATGCATAAAACGGTAATCCCTGTGGGAGAAAATAGTTTGAGAGAAGAAGTCATTACTCACAATATGCAAATTTTTTATTGTTGATTGTACTGAGATAATCTCCGATTCATTCGGTGGTGGTAAGAGAAACTCAGGGTCTTTATACACCTTTAATTCTAGTTGGTGGTTCACTTCTTCTTTGTGTTCGAGGTACCTATATATTTAATTGTAAATGATTTCAGTATACAATGAAGTACATGAATTGGAAGCAATAAAAGAGGCAACATCTGTTACCATTGCTTTAGAGCAGCAGCTTCGGCCATGGGAGGATTGATCAATATGTTGCTGACGTAAGTTGTTGTCACCGACAGCACTGCCCACGAAATTTTTTTTAGAACTTTGTATTTTTAATAATGATGACAACCAGACATTAAATAATATAGATAAAGTTATGTAAGACTCACGATTAAAAGTTGTCACTCTGACCCTCATTGCAACAACAATATTACCAGTAGGCACTGTACTTGCTAACTGTCCACCCTCTTCTTTTGCAAATTCATTCCACAATGTTAAAATCATAGGTTTGTTCCTATTTGAAGTTATTGGACAGAAGCAAATTAAATCAGCCTTTTAATTTCATTTTGGAGTAGATAAACTTTATGAAGTATATTCATCTTACTCTGCATTGACGATAACAAGATCTTTAGTGTTTGAAGTTGATGAAACATCTTTCGGTGGCAATGCATGAACAACAATACCCATGACATCTGTACAAAGCAAATAAAACATAATTCGTGATTCAAAACTTGTGAGTAAATAATTATTTTTAAGGAGATGTTAATTTATGAAGAAGGCATTAATTATTTTCTTATGTTCTCCTTTTTGTTTTTTGAGGTTTCATGTTTTAGAATAAAAACTTAAGGCTTACTCTGTAAATTGTCCGTCTCTGCAAACTTCCTCAGGTTGGCGTACTCCTGTAAGTGTATCTTGCACGGTAGCTGCGGCGACAATTTCTCGGGATATGGTTCAACCAGTGTGCCTTTTTGTATAGTCCATGTGAATCCATAATCACCAAGCTGATACTGAGGATTTACTGGTTGCACCCTTGCTCCAGATACATAGTACCTTTTGTATTGTACTATGCGTTTCTCCCAGAACTCGATTTGAGATGCATAAACAGTTGCACCAACAATGGTTCCCTACATGAATTACATGGAGTTTTTTTTTTAGCATGGTAATTAGCATACAACATGTGTAGAAGTCATACACATTGTTAAGTAAGTCAGCGAAATATATTGGGGCAAACTACAATAGCAGTATAATAAATGAACCTGTGAATCCGTGAGAAAATATCTTCGATAAGGCACTCTTTTTCCCGAACGACCAATCTGAACATGACTTTTTTCGACAACTTGAACAATAACTGTCCAACCCTCAGTGTCGAGATCAACTTCATTAATCTGAAGGTATTTGCGCGACATCCTGGCAAAGAAAAAAATAAAAAGGAAAAAAATAAAGAAAAAGCAAAAATGGAAAGAAGTCAAACATAGCAAAACAAAAACAGGAGAAATAATGAAATATTCAAACAACAGTATACATAAATAGTGCAACGTGATGTACACAGATAACAGATAAGTATCATTAATAGTAAAAGAGAACATGTAAAGTTATTGCTTTGCTGCCTCCAAAATTTCCTGATAAACAATATTTTTTGTGTACCGAACTTTTTTTCTATCAAAATATGGTGGTTTCATAAGAACTGTAACATTAGATGAGAATCTAGCCCGCGATAAAGCCACATATAATTGCCCATGCGAGAAAACTGGTTCTTTGAGATAAATACCAACTAAATCTAAAGTCTGCCCTTGTGCTTTGTTGATTGTCATTGCAAATGATAACCGTACAGGAAATTGTATTTTAACATAAGGCACTGGATATTGTTGATCAGTCGGCGGCTCTAATGGTATTTTATGTATAAAAACTTCTTTGCCAGCAAAGTCGCCTACAATTATCTGTGCATGTATAATATTTCTAGTTAAATTTTTACACCTCAACCTGGTACCATTACATAGGCCTTCTGTTGGATCCAAATTACGAAGCAATACTATTGGACAATTTTTTTTTAACACTAACTTATGAGGCGGCATGCCACTTGGTGTTAACGAATTAATAATATCTTCATATTGACCTCTATGAGCAGGATTCCGAGTCTCATCAAAACTGAAATATTCTACTGCATCACCTGGGAATCTATCTATGAGTATATTGTTCACTTCATCAACGAAATTATTTCTTGTACTTAATATAGTTCGATTAACTAAAAGGCTTTCATCATTCAATTGGCGTAAATCTGGATAAACAACATTAATTAGTTTATCAATATCATCAGTATCATTCATACATAATGTGTTAATAAATGCAGGTATCCGAATCAAATTATTCAAATCTGTTGGTTCAAGGCCATTACCAACATTTAACAAATAGTTTGAAAAGACAGGATCTAATTTAGCGCGCATGTTTTCTGTCAGTTCTATCTTCTGTAGACATGGCCAAAGCAGTGAATTAACTAAACAGGCCTCAACTGTTTCAGTTTTGCCTCCCCTACGAACAACTTGTAACATTTGTCTAAAATCACCTCCGAACACTATGACTTTTCCTCCAAAGATTTCATGGGAATCTAAAAGATCTTTAAGTAATTTGTCAAGTGATTCTATCGTTGATCTCTTAGCCATCGGTGCCTCATCCCATATAATTATTTTACATTCTCTGAGTAATATTGCAAGACTACTCTGTTTACTTATTTTACAAGTTTCTCCTTTCGATATATCTAAGGGTATTTTAAATCTTGAATGTGCTGTTCTGCCACCCGGTAAAATAGAAGCAGCAATACCAGAGGTAGCTGTTGCTAAGGCTATATACCCTTTTGATCTAATATCTGCTAACAAAGCTCTATAAAGAAATGACTTACCTGTTCCACCAGGACCATCTATAAAAAATGCACCTCCTTCATTATTATAAACACGGGTAGAAATTTGACGAAATGCATACCTTTGCCTTTCATTCAATAAGTGCACTGCATGTAAATCCTCTACTGAGACACTGATATTTTTCTCTGCTATCAATTCTCTAGTTAAATGTGCAGAATCTAATTGAGGGACATCATCCGTTAGAAGATCAAATGAAGTAATTGACTTTCCCATTGATTCTAAAAAGCAAGCAATCTGCCCTAGAACTCTAGCCCTTATTTGTACTGGCGTAAGTGACGATTCTTGTTTAAAATCTTCAGACATATGCGATTCAAATTTTAACCATAAATTTCTAGGACTATTTGGGCATGAATAAACCAAAATATTAGCAAAAAGTCTTTGAAGCTCATACGGCATTTTAAATTGCACAGCCTCTTCTAAACACAGGTATTGACTATCATCATCTTTCAAGAGACCTCTATTCAATGCAGCCTCACGAAATGTTTTAGCCATAACACCATTATACAACTTTAAATCGTTGAATGATTTTGGACAACGCACTTTCAACAAAAGTAATTTAAGATAATAACGTTCACCCTCAGAAGGATGTGCAGCTACTATTCTACCAACTGATTCTTGCCTCTCTCGTCTTTTCCATCTCTTTTTATTTGTAATCCAAACAAAATATTTAGGAAATTCAGCATAAGTCAAATTTAATTCTTGAGCATCTTTATTAGTTCTGTTCATATAGAAAAATTGTGTCAACATTGTCCTATCGTTTAAAGGATTTCTTATAATATTTCTTAGTTTATCCTTTCTCTTAAATTGGATTCTTTGATAATTTGGTAAATGGCACTGAAGATGAATAACTGCAGGTTTTATATCTCCCATTGAAAATCTAAAAATTCTCCAAGCGGCTTCAGGAGGAGAAATCCATCTAGCAGATGTATACTGCTTAATTTCATCAATACTTTCATTTGGTTTGTCTGAAGAAAGGTGAAAATTTATTCTGTCATGACCTTTACATATATATTTATAAATATATTTTACTGCATGTATAGTGGAGCAAATCTCGACATTTATATGACAATTATATTTGGCAAGAAAATATGGATTGTAAGGTATAACCCATCTATTATCCAGTTCTTGACCTCTAACTTTGACTTTTCTATTGTTTTCTCTTCTGTGATATTGAGGAAAAGCACCTGAAATTTGTTTTGTTTCTGATTTAGGGTATGCAAACCTACACTTACCCTTTTTGGTCATGCATGAATTATTTAAATTCAAATCACCACAAGGTCCATGAATCATATGTTTTTTAACCATGGCATATAAATGAGGATGAGAAAGTCTATCTGGTATTTCAGCGCACACAATTTGATCAAATTCATCACTTCTAAAAAGCTTAAACTGTGGATGCAGAATGATTAAAAAATGCGCGTGGGGCAAACCTCTTTTCTGAAATTCAATAACATATGTGTATGCAGCGACTTCACCAAAAATGTTTTTTTTAAACAAATCATCTTTTAACTTTGTCAATTTAGCATTAAAAGCTCTGGCAACCAAATCTGGCCTGTTTTGAATTTCTTCAAAACGTAATAAAAGTTTTTTTTATCTCAGGCCAATTAGGATTGCAAGTTATGGTGAGGAAAATGTCAGGTTTACCAAATTTTTGAACCAAAGTCATTGCATCAATATAACGCCTTTTCATATTTCTAGGACCTCCAATAAAACTTGCCGGTAAGAAAACTTTTTGACCTATTTTAGATCCTTCTGTCTCTCTTGAAGTTAATGCATCTTGTATTCCTTGTAAATATTCATTTCTAATCTCTTGTTGCTGAAGTCTCAAAAAATCTAGACGTTGTGACTCCAATTTAATATACATATCAACTATATACTGTTGTAAGAGCCTACCAGACCTGAGCAGAAATGACCTGTCACTTCTCTGATTTGCAATTTGTATGAATAATATGCCCTAACAGACACAAAGCTCAAATCACCGGGCGGAATAGACTGAGCTGAGGAAAGGAGGGAAAAAAATGAGGTGAGGAAAGTGTAAAAAGAAAAAGAAAAAAAGAAACAAATTAAGAATAAATGGAATATGAAATTGTGCAGACCACTTATGAGAAATGAAAATACACTAAAAAGATATACCACTCACCAGCAAATTCTGCGCTCAACATTTCATTCAAGTCCATTGCTAAATGAGGAGCAACATTTATAACTGAACCTTGTCTATTGTTAGGTTGCAAAACACTTTTTTTCTTTACACCTTAGTGCCAACCAACTTCTCCCAATGGAAAAAGTAAAGGATATTGCAAAGGGTCATAACAACCATAATAATAACTTATATTGTAAGAATGACCTCCATGTGAATGCACAATTATGTTTCTTTCATTTGTTTGACCATTATCTTCGTCCTCAACCCATAATGCAGCTACTTGTGAAACCTCTGGCTGATTAAAAACTCTTTGATCAACATCAGGTAGTGTTTTTAGTATAATCTGACATGCCTCCAAATTAGGCACATTCTTAAGTCTTCTAAAAAATTTTACATATGGATTATGTTGAAGAACTGTAAGGATCTTTTTAATCAACGATTCAGTTAATCGAGGACACGCTTCCAGTCTTTTTGAAATTTCAGTATCAGTGTCATGAGAAACTGAAGATTTTTAGATTCAAAGAAATCATCTATGAAATGGTATATTTGACCCTGCACTCTAAATGTATAAATTCCATTATTACGTTTACTGAGAGCTTTATCATAGTGTACTCCCATGGAAGTAAAAGCAAACTGATTGTTGATTGTTCGAATGCAAGTTCTGAATAAGTTTGCTTCCAGTGATGCAGAAGTGAAAAGTTCTTGAAATATAGGAGGAGTGTCATTAGAAGGCAAACATACATCTCCATCCAAACAACATAAGCTATATGTTTCATATTCAAATTTCTTTGCAAAACAATGCGGACAATCTGAAACGTTCTTTAGAACTAAGGGTGTTAGAGGAATAGCCGTAAGTCGGTGCCTACCATTTTTTAAATGATCTTTTTTGCTTTTCTTACTATTAAGTCTCCCCCTTTGCATATCATTTAATGTTTCATTAACCCTTTTCCTAAGGTTCGCCGCATTACTGGACTCTGCAAAAGAATCATACAGACCAGTCCTTTCAACTGCATGAATAGGTTCAAGTGTACAATGTTGTCTAACCATACTGGCATCTCTAGAAATGACCGGAGAAGTCTGAAGAGATTTAGATCTATCTTTCTTTAACCTCCATCTTTCAATTGCCTTTTTCTTACCTTCTTGCTTAGATGCAGCTAAATTTGAAACATTAACATCACGTAATACAACATTGGTTTGAATGTCCACATAATTTCCATGATTTATAGGATAATCCCTTTTCATTTTTTTTAATCTCCACCTTTTTATAACTTTTTGTCTATATTGTTTCTTAGCAAGGAGATCCCCACCCACCGACAGGACAATCTCTCTATATTTCCTTTTTTTTGTCATTAGCAAATAAGAAGAACAGCTAAGCAAATGTACGCACACCCACAATTTGCAACACAATAGCTACTTTTTACAATATGAAAGAACTGTAAGGTTTTGCAGAACAACCTAATAAGCAAACAGAAAAATCAGCAACCGAAATATTATGAGTTCTCCCTTGCAGAGAATTTCAGCACACCTAGATAAAAGAAAAAAAAAAGGAAAAAAAAAAGGTGAATAAAACAACAACATAAGTCAAGGTTAATATATTACAAACATGTTTGGCTGAAAAACATACAGAGCACGTGTAGATGCATGAATGAACTTTTAGATAAAATGAAAGTAGAGAAAAGTACGCAGCATAATACAAGGTAGTCCTAAAAAAACATAGGTCAGGTTGTCCACAACATACACGAGACCAGAAAAGGCCTAAAGATGATTGAAACATGCAGAAATGACCCCACAGATACCATAACATCTCTTTTCAAAGGATAGCGAGAAATAGCAGCAAACCACATACACTAATAATAAGATAAGAAGAAAACAGAAAGAGCATAACAAGTAAATGCAACTGAACATTCCCAAACATGCAGATCACAAAAGAGTGCAATTTTGAAAACACCAAACACAAGAAGAAGCACATTCAATGACGAGCAACACCAAACACCATAAGAAGCACATGAAGCAAACATAATAAACTCGAAAAAAAAATAAGAACTGAGGAGAAAAGTCCAAGAAAACAAAAATTTTGAAACACCAGACACAAGAAACAACACATTAAATGAACAGATACATGAAACATTAGAAGCAACACATTAAATGAAGAGAAAGAACCTTAAAAAGAGAAGCACTGAGCAGGATGACAATAAAAATTGTAGGTAGAATGGAAAGCAAAGGAACAATAAATGCAAATAAGACATGAGCAATAAAAATTTACCTGCTTGCAGAGAATGAGTAAAAGAAAATGAGTTGTAAAATGTGTTATTAATAGAGAAGGAAACTGAGCACACAATATAATAAAATAATAGGAAAAAAATTTGGGCACACGTGAACAAGCCCCTAAAGTCAGAAATAATGATGAGAAATAGCCTCCAAAAACCAGTATAATCATCACACATACATACTCAATATCTTTCCATAAATATAGGATACTCTACACCAAAGCAAGGGTACATGACCAATTTTCCCTAAAAAAAGAAAGACATGGTGCTCTCTCAAACAATTTTTAAATAATAACAATTAATTAAAGATCTTGCCTTCCTCCACGACGGATTAACTCGGCCAGGGGTCGTCTTTGACCGCCTGGCCCACTCCCGGTGCAATGCGCGTTTCGATGTGGCCGTGGATTGCTTGGGGTGCGGTGGTCCGGTCTGGTCGCGGATGGGGTCTCGGTGGGAGGAGATGACTGGCCCGGCCTTCTTTCGGCTGTCGATTGGAGGCTCTTTCTTCGATTGCCGGCGGGGCGGCTCTGGTTCGCGGTTTTTTCCTTTCCATTGGCCCTCCTCTGTGGCTGATGGGTTGTGGCTCTCCGGCGGGGTTTTCATCTATTTGGGTGGGGCTTTGCCGCTGGACCTCGGCGATTTGTGGTGGTGTCAGGGGGTGCGGGAGCCGGTGAGTGGGGCGGGATCCCGGTTGTTGTGTCGGATGATGCGGCAGTTGGGGTTGAGGGCCCGGACCATTCACGATTTTCCTCGGTCGGCTAGTGGTGTTAGGCGGCGGAGGATTGAGTCCTATCGAGCTTGGCTAGTGGTGTTAGGCGGGTTCGGTGGGGCTGACGTGGTGGCTAGTTCGGGCTCTCTCGGTTAGAGATGGGTCGATTCGGGATTGTCTCGGGGGTTGAGTTCACCTGCTGTATAGGCGTTCGTGCAGTTTCGGTAGCGGTTCTCGGGCTTGAGGTGTTCTCTGTGTCGGTCATTTTACTACTGGTTGAGTTTAGTTTCGTTTCCCGGCTTGAGGTGTTCTCTGTGTCGGTCATTTTACTACTGGTTGAGTTTAGTTTCGTTTCGCTGGGGAAGGACTCCGTTATAGTTTATTGTTGTTTAGGTTTTTGTGTGTTTGTTGTGTTTGTTTTGGTGTGCTATATGTGTTTTTGGTTTGGGCCGTTGGTCCCAGTTTGGCCAAGTGTAGCCTTTATTCTCCTTTTGGGAGTTTACACTTGGATATTACCCTGGTGGGGACTTTTATTTTCTGTCTGTGTTTTGTTGTGGTTTTAGTTTGGTTTGGTATTGTAGTGTGCTGGTTGTTCTAGCTTTGCTAATTGGTATTCGTCTAGGTTACACTAGTTGTGTGTGTAACCTCCCATTTCTCGGTTTCGGGCTCGTCTGTTGTACATTGCCTTTTGGCCTTTTATATGAGTATGTTTATGCCGTTGGAAAAAAAAAAAAAAAAACAATTAATTAAAGATAACAAACAAAAAGAACCACCTGCCTATAACCCACTAATGAACAAGACACCCCGTAGCAAAGACAAATCAACCTCTGTGTCTAAGGGAATTGATGATTGCAAGAGAAGAACCTAGAACATGATATTTAAATAGTAACCAACAAGGAATAGAAAATAATAAACTGAACCTATGAGTCACTAATCAACAAATTTAACAACACACAGAAACAACACACATGAAGGCAAAGTAAAAATAAAGAACGAAAAATTAAGAACATAATTTACCCTCAAAATATTTAAAACAATCACATAAATAATGAAGAGCAAACTTATCTGGATGATCGTCCTCATTCGAGGAGACGAAAGGATAAAAAATCCTCAAGTATTTCATCGCAATTAACGAAAGCACAAATAATTGAGACCCATTTTATCGCAACAGACCCAAATCGTATACCACTGCACAAGAACGAAACAGGCAATGTGGAATTAAAAAATTATTCGGAAGGTAAAAAATGGCTGAGAAACAAGAAAAGACTGCGAAAAAATGGCGAAGACAAAAATTAGGAAAAAACCAAAAAAAAAAAAGAACTGAAGAAAAGACGAAAGAAAAAAAAAGTAACGGAATACAGAAAGGCATAGGGATTAAAAATTACAAACATACCCCTAAGTCTTTCGTAATAAATAAACTCCACAAATTAGAAAGAATGGAAAAAAAGAGAAGGCCAAAAGAAGCTAAACAAATGAGCCACGTGTCGCAAATTTAGCAACCTTCTTATTTCCTTCTTAAATATGAAGGTAGATAACTTATAAAACTAATCCTTAATAAAATATTGTAGGGGGACCGAATTCATGCATCTGCTCCAAAATATTTGTTTATAAAATTTCAAAACATTGGATTTGTGGAGGAAAGATTCTACCTAATAAGTAATTATAAAGTTGTGCCCGACCTAGGGCTGCAAACAAACCAAACGGTTCATGAGCCGCTCGCGAGCGCTCGAGTCAAAGCGGCTCGAACTCGAGTTTGACTGAACTTGAGCTGAGCTCGAGCGGTTCGAGCATGTTATCAAGTCGATCTCGAGCATAGGTTTTGAAAGGTCGAGTCACTAGCTAGCAGCTCGAGGTTATATAAAAATATTACAATATTATATATATATATATATATATATATATATATATGTGTGTATGTACTTGATGGCAATTTTACTTGAAATTTGAGTCGCATTTTGATTTCAATCCATCTTGAGCCAAGCTCAAGTGATTGTCTCTTTTATCGAGTTGATCTCGAGCATCATATATCGAGCTCGACGAGCTCGAGCCTGAGCAGGTAAAAGAAAAAAAAAATCAATCTTGCTAAATAAGACCAATGTTCGACTTGACTCGACTCGTTTGCAGCCCTAACTCGATCACAACGATTACAAAACAACTCCCAAGAATTTCAAATTCACACAAGATGTTCAGATAGGCCATCTTGGCAGAGTATTTTATTTGTACTCCGAGTATTCGTTCTTGGGGTATTTTATTTGTGATCTTAATCAAATAATTTAATATAACTAGCTTTGAAATGAAATATATTTTTACTGAAATATTAAAGGCCGGGTTTGAGTAATTAATACACAATGCCTAAATTATGTTAATTTCACCTATTATTTTGGATTTGTTGAAAAAGTTACAGATTACATCCCATCACCTCATCTCCTCCACCAATCTGGTATTTTCAGCCTTGTACTCCGATGTACAGCAAGTTTAACCGAAGGTACCTTCTGCTTAACCTGTCTCCAAATCATATTAACAGCATCCTCTTCCACCGGAGGGTAATTGAACTCAAAGTGATGAGAAATGCTTTTGAGCCTCAACCACATTTTCATCCATTTCTCCTTTGAAATCTTCCTGAGTTCACTGACCATATAACCTGGTTTAAGTGCCTCGTTAGCAGAGAAGAAAATCGAGAACTCCGAGTAATCCATCTCGTTTTCAAACGGTAGCTCGATTTTGTCGCTCACGATAACCGGGACACAGTGGCTCACGATCGCGTCGAATAGTCGGCAAGATGAGGGAGTGTCCCCGGTCGGGTGAAGGCAAAACTTGGATGATTGCATTCGTTCGGCCGACTGGTACAGATAAATAATTAACATTTTACAAAATAAGTAAAGTACGCATTATTGTAGAGAGTATTGATCGCTCAACTATTAAGCCGTTTTTCATATCAGACATTGTAACAACTTACCATGAGTTGATAGAATTACAAAATTGGACCCTCATTACTAACAATTTATAGATGAAAAAAAAGATAACTTACAGCTTTGAAGCCTTCCCCAGATGCATGCCCCTCTTCATATATGACATCGTTCGTCCCGTTTAAAATCTTATGAAGTTGGACACGAATTTTTCCCGCCTGTTACAAACATGTACGCAATTATACGTCACAAATAAATCAACTGCTTCATTTAAATTAATGTCCAACACAAGTATATAAACTCGTCTGATTGAACTTTACGTCCTTCCTCTTAGTCCCGCCACGGAAGAACAAAAGAGTCTCGCGCGACTCAAACGCGTTCTCAGGCTCATCATTCATGTACGAATCTACCATGTGTGGGTAAGGGGCAACGACATCTTTTGCCAGCCTAGAAATTTTAAGTATGCGCCCGAAATCCGCAACAATGAATATGGATGAATTGACTCGATCACGATAGTGTTTGAAGGCGTTGGGATGGTGAAGGGGGATCACGTGGTCTCGCCCCCCGGATCTTTTCCAATAGGTTGATGCTCTTAGAATATTGAGCAGCTCAAGCTACATTTGTGAAGAAACAAATTGTTATTAAAAAGAGCACAAAAAGGACATAATCACAAGCAAAGCAACCATTCATACACACATAACAACATCGACAGTAAGAGTGTCGTTAGCCAGACCTAGGCTATGTTTCGTAGCCAAATAAGCTAGCTTAGAGCTTATTTGGTCAGCTTATAAGTTTCTTGTATTCAAATAAACTTCGTTTGGTAGGGCAAACTTTTTTGAAAAGCTCGAGCTTATCTCATAAGCTTTTTTGGGTAGTTTTTCAAATAAGCTCATTGAAATTTTACTTCAACTAGCTTATCAGCTAATTTTACCAAACATTTTTATCATATAAGCTAGCTTTTCAACTATAAATCATAAATTATAAGCTATAAGCTCGAAAATCACTTATCAAGCTTATCATGGCTTTACCAAAACATAGCACTAATAATTACGCAACCAGACTCAATAGTTATGTAGTCATACTTATTCAACATATATACATATTGTGTTAGCCACACCTTATAGTTAGGCAACCAAACTCAATGGTTATGCAGTCATACTTATTCAGATATACGTACTTTGGAACTGAAATGTCGTACTCTAATAAACAACATAAACAAGAAATTGTACAACATCAAATAAGTGAAGACTAGTATGACATTTTATAGCATATGTATGCAATTTTGTTAAAAAAAAAAAAAGTATGATGAGTCTACTCATCTTACTGTTAGTACGTATCAGGCAAGATTTCGTGTAAAGTGAGCCAAGTGAATATAAGTTAAAACTCAAATATCCCAAAAAATAATGAACACCTGCAGCTGCTCATCAACTCCATTAGATCCCTTCTTATTCCAAGCGTAGATATTGAAACTTAACGACGAGAAAAACGGCACGAAGAACACGTCAGCAGAGTCCGGATCCGAGACCCGAACTGCCTCACGGGTCGACCCGGGCATGTGATCTCCACCATCGTACACAAGGGAGGCCATCAACCAGTACTCCATGCTGTGCTGTCGGAGGAGCCGGTCATTCCACCTCCACGCCGGGAAATTTGCCGGCGCCACCGGCGTTCCGTCGGGAAAGGACGGATCCAGCATCTGGACGTTGAAGCGTGGGGGCAGATCGTACATGTAGACGCGGAGGGGCGGCGATCGGACGCTGCCGCAGGGCGCGGCGGCGATGGGGTGCAGAGGGAGGAAGGAGGCGAGCGATCGGGATTGGTAGGCTAGGGTTCCGGCGAGGACCAGTGCGCCGAGGAGCAGGGGAACGCATACCAGCCAGCAGGTGAGTGTCTGGTTCATCGAATTTTGCAGTTGGAGTAAATTGGTTTTTGAATATCGAATTTAGGGATTTGAAAATTGTAGCTAGTTTTTTTTGGGGGGGAAATTGTTGGATCACACTATCACGTCTTTCATCAGTGCAGACAATTTTTAAGAAGTAGCCCATAGAAAAATCTATTTAATTCTAATTTCAATTTGACTTTTCAGCTTATTACATCCCACGGTCTGAACCTACAGAGGGAACCACACGATCAGATCGGGTCAACGGAGGAAGCCTTATTCGACTTAAGCGTAGATGACTAAGGAGGCGATTGGATATAAATTGAATAGTAAAAAATCCAATCAAAACTCAAATTTAACTCAACTTTAACTCAATCCCACTATCTTCAATATTACCAATATAATTAAATAATATCAACCAATCATTCTTACACATCAAATCAACTTTAATTCACTATTCATCCACTCACATAATTTTAACTAACCATCACTTCCAATCATTTTTCTCCTACTTTACATCAAATCAACTTTAATTATTTTATTTAAATATTATTTTAATATATCCATTAACAACTAACCATACCTTTTTATTTTTAAATTAACTATAGTTAAAAACAAACCAAATAAAAACTAGTTGAATCCATAAACAATCACCCCCTAAGAGGTTGAGTCGACCTCTCGTTACTTGGCAATAGGGGAGCTGAAGAGGAACAAGTTCTACTAGACGGAAGGCTTCGACCAGATGACGATGTTTCGACCGGGTAAAGAGTGTAAAGGAGCATCTATTTGTAAAACCTCATTGTGAGAGGAGTGGACCACGCGTCGGGAAAAGATTGAGTCTAGACATGGCCACGGTTTGACCGGCCCGGAACCGGCCCGCCCTAGCCGGTTTTTGAACCGGCCCATGACCCCTTAAGGGCCAGTTACAGGTCCTGTTCTAATACTTTATGACCCGTCGAGCAAGGCCGGTGCCGGGCCGGGCCCGAGTTTTCCGACGGGTCACAGTTATAATTTTATTTTATTTTATTTTTTAAACTGTCGGTTCAATGAACCGTCGGGTAGGGCCGGTTCATTTGAACCGGCCCTTAGATATAACCGGATCGGTTACGGGCCAAGCATTTGAGGCTCGCCAACCCAGCGGGCTGGGCCACGGCCCGTTGACTGGCCACCTCTAACTGAGTCGTCTGCATCTCTGACACCTGACAACCTGAGATACCACAGGCACAGCAGATCATACGGACGGGCAGCAAGTGCAGCCGGGTCAACGCTACAGGCAAGCTTGGGGAACAAGACATCACTTTCCTATATAAAGGGAAGTAATGGGTCAGTTTTAGGGTTTATATTCTCTACACTCTTATACTTAAGATATTGTTCATCATCTCGAATTGTTATTGACTTAAGCAATCGAGGCTCTTCACCGGAAAATCCCATTTCCGTTGTCGAGTTCTTGTAGGTATGGAGCCGCTCAAGGTCGAAAAGGAGGTTGAAGAGGTCGAAGGAGCTGTTTTACTAATATAATAGTCCGAACTAGGACCCGGTGAAATTTCACCAGTATCAACAATCAATCATAAACTATTAGTTATAACTAGTATTCGATTATATACACATAAACAAATGCAAATAAAACTTTATATGTTATGTGTGTATTGCATACTTAAAATATTAGATAATGACCATATCACATTTATAGTTTTTTATTAGTAAATTAATAAAAATGAACGATATAAATATAGCCTATTTAACTTAAATATTAATCTTTATAGACCGCAACCATATAATTTTTGCACGCTTGACTGATTTTGACCTATTAATTAGAAAAAAAATATTGAAATTATTATTATAGCAATTGTGTACGGAAATTTATTAGTCGGGTTATGGCATAAAAAATAATTAGCTAATATATTAAAATTTTTGCTTAATGAGCTAAACAAAATAAATAATATTTAAATAAATATTTTGAAAAAAATAAAATATAATATCATTTATGTGACATTATGATTAGCTAGTAGCAGCTATTATGTAATTAAAATAAATAAAAATAAAATTACTTTCTTAATTCAAAATATAATTGAAAAAATGCAGAAAAACAAAACACAATTATCATAATATTTTTGTCAACAATGATNCACCAGGAGTAGTTTTTATTTGAACCAGTCCCTATATATATATATATATATATATATAAATATAGGATGTGGTTCAAATGAGAATCAAGTAACCGTGAGAACCGCTATTTATAGTTGCAAGTAGTGCTATAATTTATTGTGTTTTAATGCTATTTTTAACATAGATCTATTTTCTTAAAAATAGCAGCACAAATTATATTAGCATTTGTGAAAATGATAGCACCATGTGATATTAAAAATAGCATCATACACAATAAAAAATAGCATCAAATACGGTTCTCACGGTTCTCACTCCAGGACTAGTTTTTATTTAAACCAATCCCTATATATATATATATATTGTAAGAACTGTGAGAACCGCTATTTTTCATTGTACGTAGTGCTATGGTTTATTATATTTTAATGCTATTTTTAAACATGAAATATTTGATTAAAAATAGCAACATAATTTATAATAGAATTCGTGAAAATTATAGCAGCATCAAATAAGGTTGTCACGGTTCGCACACGGAGTAGTTTTTATTTGAACTTAGCTTTTATTTGAACTTAGCATCAAATATGCTAGGTTATGACTCAACTCCATTACAAATAGAACGCTAAGTTGTGATAACTTATGACTGAACTCCATTACAAATGCTAGTGATATGCGTTACCTAATAGACATATTGATCGTGTTACCACTTACCGAGTCTCACACAGGTCAATCACACTAAATTTGTGAAAATAATACCTCCATTGAACATCATTTCTCTATCTTATATAAAAATACCTATCTATTCAATCATGCTTCTTGTGGGGGGTAATTGAACTATAAACGAGAAATGCTTTTGAGCCTCGACCACATTTTCATCCATTTTTTTTTTTTTTCGAAATCTTCCTGAGTTCACCGACCATGTGGCCTGGTTTGAGCGCATCTCGTTAGTTGAGAAGAAAATCGAAAACTCCGTGTAATCCATTTGTCTCCAAATATTGTTCAAATATAATCAGCAGAAACTATAAATTATAATCAATCAATTTTAATTGAGCACCAAAATGGGATAATTTAAAAATTATATTAGAAGGTGTTAATAAAATAGACTGTAAAGATGAATTGGTGTGAATAATACAGTTTTTTATTGATGTATTTAAGGAAAAATTTCCAATCACACCCACATATGCTAGAATGCAACAAATTCAGTTGTTTCGCAACAAAAAGTGATAAGAAATTATTATAGAGCTCACTCACTTATTTTGTTTTAAGTTGATGATGAATTGATGGGCCATAAGCCCATGAAAAGCCCAGCTCATAAACACTCCACACCTATTTTAAGTAACTGAAAAAAGACGAAACAAAAGTAAGACCTTGCTTCCAAGTCGACAATAGCTTTCCCCACCTACACAGAAAACGAAGTTTGTTTTTGCACTAATTTTACTGAATAACTATAGCTAAAGAAAATAATAACAATAATAATATCACTCGCCGGAGAAAAAATGGCGCTTCTGAGGCTGAGCCCCGGCGACGTCGCCGGATTCAAAGTTTTTTTCGCGCTGCTCGTTCTGTACGGGCTGATATCTTACCTCGTTCACTCCGTCATCCACATGAAGTTCGTCACGCCCCTCGGTGCGGACGCGCCGCTGGATCGCTTCTCAGAAGCCAGAGCGATCCAGCACGTGCGCGTTCTGGCGGAGGAAATCGGCGGTCGTCAGGTTAGCTACGACGTCGTTTCATGCCCTGTTCTCTATGTAATTAACGATGCTCCCATACTCGTTGTGTGGTTTGTATGCATGTGGTGCTGCTTTTTGGGTCCCCTTGATTGCTTGAAAGACACAGTGAAGACTGATTTGATGAAATATGATTGAGTAGGAATGTGGGAGCCTCAAATGTCGGTTGACTTTGCTTGTGGAAGTTGACATGGATTGTTTAGAAGACCCAGTTGATTGGTTATAAAATGAGTGTCTGTGACCTGTGTTTATATGCTATCTTTTGTTTATTGACTTGCTGTTAGTTGTATCTAATGCATTTTTTCTCTTAGATGTATGTTTATGTATTTGGTTTATTTTGATGGTGCGCGTGAAAAGGGGAGCTAAGTGAATATTTGTGTGTATAATTGTACGGTTGTTAACGAGTAGTCCATCCAGCCATCTGATTTTGTTGCTACTCGATCACGTGTAGGAGGGGAGTCCAGGTCTGAGACAGGCAGCAGTATACATTAAAACACAATTAGAACAGATTAAAGAACGAGCTGGATCGAATTTTAGGTCGGTTTGGTTTCCAATTATATTCTAGAAAACTATTTCATGGCTATAGGTGTATGGAGTTAACTTTCGAGTTCTGGAATTTCTATTGCAGGGTAGAGATAGAAGAAACTGTTGTTAATGGCTCCTTCAATATGATCTTTTTAGGAAAGAGCATCTCTCTAACTTATAGGAATCACACAAATATTCTTATGAGGTAATCTACTTAATATATTTGTATATTTTATCTAGGTTGTTTGTAGTGGTTCAAAGTTGAACTTTTCTGAATCACGGTCAGTTTATTAACAGAAGACTATATTGAGTTGGTGATACAATTCAACTCTCTATTGTCCTGCATGTTTGTGTTCGGTGGCTTATATAACAAAGTGAACATTGTTAATCATGTGTTGCAGTTGGTCAATAGAAACTATGATTCCATCAATGACTAGGCCATGATAGGTTTCTTTGGTCTGCTTTTCTCTATCCTATATGATCTTGTCAATTTTCTTTCATGATCTTCCCATAGCTCCTTTGTATTTAATCTGTGCCAGGGGAATAGCCAGCTGTTCGGTGCAAGGGATGGAAAACCTAAATAACCTTAACTGATATACATATATATTTATGTATTTTTTTAATTTATTTTTCAATGGAAGAGAATAAAAGCAATCAGCAGGGGAGAAGGGGGCTTAACTATGCCTTTTATTTCAGCTTCCATTTTGTTGGATAATACATATATAAAGTTGGACCTCATGGAGGCCGAGTGCGGTGCTTCCTAATCTTTTAAATGCAGGACACCCTTTGNCTTTGCAAAGTACAGAAGAAAGGTTTTAGTAAATGATTACCATCACTGGGATCAACTTGCAGGATTTCGTCAGTTGATTCACAAGATAGTGACCCATCAGTGTTATTAAATGGACATTTTGATACCCCTGCTGGTTCGCCAGGAGCTGGTGATTGTGGCTCATGCGTTGGTGGGTTCTAATGCAGAGTTACTCAGTATAGAAATATGTGTACTATGTTTGACTTAAATCTTGTTGTTACTTCTTTTGCAGCATCGTTGCTTGAATTAGCGAGGCTCACTATTGATTCTGGTTGGATTCCTCCTCGGCCAATAATATTCTTATTTAATGGGGCTGAAGAATTGTTTATGCTGGTAACTATCTTCCACAGTTTACCTTGTGCACTTAGAATTAATGGTGTGGGAATTATGTTGTAAGAATAGTGAGCTATCATATTATTTTAACTATTATTATCCTTTGTTAGAAAATTTGTTTGTAGTTATATGTTTTTAGCAATACAATCTTCAGGATATATGATCTTATATCTTTAACCAGCGGAAACAAGTATGAGAAAAATTGTTTCCCAAGATATGTATTGGGAGTACATTTCTTAATCAGAACTCAGAGATACTTTTCTTGTGATGTTTTAGGGTTCACATGGTTTCATAACGACACATAGATGGCGTGATACAGTTGGTGCTTTTATTAATGTCGAGGCATCTGGGACAGGAGGATTTGGTAAAGTCCTCAATCTCTTGTTTCGTTGCTATTTACTGGCATATATACTTCACTTGCTAATGAATCTATTTTTATTAATTAAAATATTCGCCCAAATAAGCAGATTTGGTGTGCCAATCTGGACCTGGACCTTGGCCTTCATATATCTATTCTCAGTCAGCCATATATCCTATGGCAAATAGTGCAGCTCAGGTTTTACACTGTTCACCATTTATATTAGAATTGTTGGTGTTTATAAAATGGTCTATATATATGTTAGTTAATAAGCATATTTGTAAATTAAGCATCAGTCAAAACTTCTTCTCTTTTCTCTTTAAGTATCAGTCAAAACTTTCACGCACTAACATTAATACCCGTGCGTGATATAGTATACAAATATTTTTTTATTTATTCAAATATTCTTAAAATATTTAAGATAATATGTCGGGTCTTTTCTACCCAATATATAAACTCGGTAATAATATAAACTAGGGTTAACTATTTTTTTACCATTTTCTCTTTTTTTTTTTTAATTTATTTTTTGGAGATCTATACTTGACTATTTAATATTGAATTTTATTATTTATAAGTTTATAAAATATTATAAATGCCTAATATTATCTATCTTATGTTCTTTTGGCAATCCACAGTCCGCATATTGATCAGAGTTTAACCCACCAAATTTATCTTCTTTTATCTTGAAATATCATCCATTTGAAAATTAAACTTTGGGTTTTATTAAATTTATTCACTTATTTTTAACACATATTTTCATGGCAAAATAATTATTTTTAATTTTTTTTATTCTTTAATTCGTTTATTTACATATGTAATGAGTTAGTTTATATAAAATTTAAATATTTGAATATATTATTCAATGATTACCAAAGGGTTTAATGCACCAAACCCCCCTGTATTATACGAAATCTGCGCGTTTCCCCCCTGTATTTTAAAAATTGCGTCAGACCCCCTTCTATTAAGGTTTTGTATGCGCGAAACACCCAAAATCGTCTAAATTTTGGGTGTTTCGCGCATACAAAACCTTAATAGAAGGGGTTTGACGCAATTTTTAAAATACAGGGGGGAAATGCGCAGATTTCGTATAATACAAGGGAGTCTTGTATATTTTACCCGATTACGAAATGTCATATTATGGTACTTGATTTTATATTTTTTGTTTACTTCTTTTCTTTAAAAATAAATAAATACTTAGAATTATAATATTTTACAAATTGGATAATTTATCAAAATAATGTTTATATTAATATATTGTTTTAATTCATCAATATCATTACCATTTACCAATACCAATGACATAATCAATGAAAAATAAATTGTATATGTTAAATAATATATTATAAAATTTACTATAAGATTTTATTAATATTTAAAAGCATTCATTTAACTAAAATAATTCGAGTGTAATATTAATTATTATATTTATTGTTTCTATATTTTAGGTATTCCTGATTGGTGACCATAATTAAAGAAATTAATAATTACAACCATAGAAGAATAATATAATTAAGTAAATCGATTATCTAATTATAGTGAATACATTCATTTAATTGGGGCAAAAAATTACTATGCAATTAATAGCAAGATTTTATTAAAAAATATATTAACCATTGATTAAATAAAAATTAATTAACTTTTTATTTATAAATTCTGCTAAGAAATAAAAGTTAATTATATGCTAAATATAGGAGAAATCTTTTTCCCGCCCAAAACCATATCAATTATGGTAATATAAATTGGTCCATTACATAGATATATATTTATTTGAAGTTGCAATTAATTTATTTTTGCTGCTCCACTTTCAGGATGTCTTTGGGGCAATTCCTGGTGATACAGATTACAGAATGTTCGCCAATGATTTCGGTGACATTCCTGGCTTGGATATTATCTTCCTGCTTGGTGGTTACTATTACCACACCTCATTTGATACTGTAGAAAGACTATTGTATGCATCTCTGGTATTTTGGTATAATTTACTGATTCTATTTTTCCAAGACCATATTTACTTATGTTTTTTGCATATATGGCTTATTAATCAATCAGACAGGGAAGCATGCAAGCACGCGGGGATAATCTATTTAGTTTAATGAAAGCCTTTGCTAATTCTACTAAGTTATTAACTGCTCGAGAACGAGAAATCTTTGGAGCTGCTTCCAATGGATCCAGAGGAGAAAGGCCAGTTTTCTTTGATTACTTCGCGAAGTTGTTGGTATGCTACCATCTTGGTTTTAAGATTTAGTAGCTACCGATCCATATGCTAATGGCATCTTTGTAACTGTTGTTCAGGTCTTTTACTCAAGAAAGCAAGCAATGGTGCTCCACAGTGTTCCATTGGCTATCTTTGGCCTTATGCCACTTTTGTTGTGCTTGAGAACTGGTAGTTTATTCTCTATCATCAGTTCTTACCATGACTTTCTTAAAGGTAACTAATAATTGTCGAAATATATTTGCATTTTTTATGTGTTCCTTTTACATTTGTATGCTTTCTAAAATAAGTTTGTACTTGCTATTGTACAGGAGTATTGTATCATGCTAGTGGCATAATCCTCGCCATTGTTATTCCTGTAACTTTTGCTATCTTGAGGTTACTGTTCACGGGAAAATCAATGAACTGGTATGAGTTTTAGCTCCTGAAAATATTGCTTATTTAATACTTCTCGCTTTGACAGTTGATCTATTCTCATTTGGGCTTTTTCATTTATGCAACAAATGTTTGTTTGTAGAGTTTCAACTAAGAAAGTCTTTGTTGCTTTCTTTCTCTTATAGTTATCCTTGATTGCTGTTGTGATAAGATCTGGTTCTTTAACCTCGACTTCTTTTGTTCAATGTAGGTTTGCTAATCCATTTTTGGCCTTTCTAATGTTTGTGCCATGCTCAGTTGTTGGTCTGTTGGTTCCAAGATTTTTATGGAGACAATTTCCTCTCTCTCAAGATGTTTCAGCCAACATATTATCAAGGGAGGTGTGTGCTTTTGTATGGATCTTATCTGATCTTGATGTAGTTGTACTTGTTAGATATGCTGATTTAGATTTATTACAAGACCACTTTGTGTTGTTTTTCCTGCTTTCTTCCTACTGTTTGGAAAGACTTCTATATCTTATTATTTAACCCACAAATGGAGTGCCAAATTTGATGAGTATCCAAAGGCAGTTCAACACAAATTATATAGTGGTGCTAAACAGATATGTCAATTATCTCAGTCTGGTACGTGTCTAATTGAAAAGCCAAACAAGAACTAAAATAGGTACACGTGGTCTTTTGCATTATCGTAAATAATGCACTGGATGCAATTCATGTTTAGAATGGAGAATACTATATTACTAGTACAATACCCATGTATTATTTTTTAAGAAATTTATATTAAAAGTTAAAAAATAATAAAAGAGTTATTTTAATTTTGAAATACTTTTTTGAATAACTATTTTACTATTTATATTTAAAATAACACTCATCTTCATATATTATAATTTTTTTTAAATGATATCATTTAATAATTTTGTAGTTAAATTGATTTAAATAATTTTATTATTTTAATTAATATTAATAGGTAATTTAATTTTTATTATAAAGATAAATATAATTATTTGTTTATTTTGCATGTACAATATAGGTGTCAAATCGAAGCTCATGATTAATTATTTTATTTATTATCAATTTTTTACATATAATATATCAGTTGTCCATGTCCCTGTAGAAGATTCGGTCGGGCAGCTACTGGAGCCCCCGCTTCTTTGGACAGAACTTCAGTTTGAGGAGGAGTTACCCGGAATGCTGCCAAGATATCAACATTCACTTTTAAATCTACTTATAATTTAAGTTAGTAATATTTTCATAATTTTAAAAGAAAGACGAGAAAAAAAGAAAGATTGAGGAAAAAAAATTATTCCTTATAAATGGCGTCTTTAATAGGAAATGTAACATAATTAATGCTCTTAAACATGACCATAAATATTAGATATTTATGGCTATTCCAAACCTAATTATTTTTTGATTGAGAGTAAATTAAAATCCATCCAAAACAAATCACAAAGCATCAAAATTTGCCATATAGGACCCCGAAGCATGCGACTGCCACTTAAGCTCAGCACATTCGATAATTATATACAAGGGGGATTATGGTTAAATTCTTCATTATCTGGTTTGAATAGTGACAATATGATGTATTTGCAGGAAGTGGTTGATGAAGCAAGGTTCTGGGGAGCATTTGGGTTCTACGCCTTCTTGACTTTGGTGTGTGAAATGATTTCTTATCTAAATCAATTTAATATGACTTTATTTATGGGTGATTCTCTGATAGTTAGTTTTTTATCCTAATACATTAGATTTCAAAGGCTTAATTTGCTGAAAGAACTTCTGAAAGCAGGCGTATCTTTTATCTGGGTTGAGTGGAGGCTTTGTGACATTCCTTGTTTCAGCTTTTATGCTTCCTGCATGGATCTTATTTCGTCTGTCAACCAAGTTCTTTGGTCACCAATCTCTCAGGTGACAGTTTAAATAATTGATAATCTTTTAGAACTTACTGCCTTCTCCTGCACATGATGTCCCATTTCCCTACTGTTATAGGTAGTCCTTAGTCTAGTTACTTTTGCACTAAATCTTATTCAGGTGTATTCAGACCTTCCAACATATAATATGTTGGCAGTGTAACATCATAAAATGTTTTTGTCAGGTCAACTGCATGCTACGTGATCCCTTTGATACCTTGCTTGATGTACTCCTTATACTTTGGTGGATTTGTTGCCGCGTTCTTAATCGAGAAAATGGGCATGACAGGCTCCCTTCCGCCTCCTTATGGTTAGTTATGTAGCTTTTTATAATCGTATCACTATGAATGACAGGCACACTTGAATTTTATGTTGTTTCTTATGTACCGGTCAGTTCATGTGTAAGAGATTCTTACTTGTACTGTGTTTCTAATCCAACTATGCAACAGCTGATTTCACTAACATTCAGTGACAGTTTTCTTTGGGTAGCATTATTGTTTGCATTTGCCTTGAAATGTCATCATATGCTTTCTAATCCAACCATGCAACATCTGATTTCACTAAAACGCATTTAACTCGTTTAATGATTTTAAGCCAAAAACCTAGTCCATGCAGGAAAATGGTTCTTCTTTTACCCTAATTACATATAAATTTATAAGTTTATTTGCAGGTTATTTTGTCCCTGATGTAATAGTTGGAGCCGTCATTGGATTAGTAACAGGCTGGTGTGTTGGTCCTCTAATACCTGTGGTTGGAAAATGGTTGACAAAATCATCAATTGTACGACTTTTACTGCATGTCACTGTACTTGCTTTGGCTGTATCATCACAATTCTTTCCGTACAGCAACGATGCACCTAAAAGAGTCGTTCTCCAGCACACAGTTCAGACCTCAGGTACTTATGGATGGATAAAGCTCATATTAATTTTTAAATTTCTAAGCATCACTGACTGATTTACTTGCTGGCAAGAGTTGGTCCCTAATGTTTTAGCCTGTAGCATGAGAGTTTCCCTCTGTGTATGTGTGCTGTATGGCCTATTAAGGTCATCTTAATCATCTCAAAATCCAACTAATGCTGTGAGGACTTGAGATAATTTAATTGACGCCTTGATTCTGTTCTGATGTATTTTATATTTGTAAGTTGCTGGTGGAAAATAAGTTCAGCCTTTCATCTAGTACCTCATTTCAGCCTTTTCAAAGTCTTCACAATGTGAAGAAATAGCAGCGCATGTTCTTTACTTTTATAGTCAAGTTTAACCTTTCCCAATGTTGAAATTTTTATTCTTGACTAGCTTTTAGTTCCATTTGACAGGTCCAAACCAAATTTCGGATGCCAGCTTTGATTTTGCCGTAGTTGACTCCAACTCCCTGATGTTTGTTTTCAAACATGCGCCGGAAGCTGCGAAAGAGCTGCATGGTAATCATGAATTAAGTTTTGACACCGTTCATCAGTCTGATTTTGAGACATGGAAGGTACATTATTAAACCCTTTGGCTCTGATGAAAAGAGGTTGTTATATTCCATGAGTAGAACATAAGGAATCCTAGTAGAAAGTCTAAGAGTGGGGTTAATTAGTTAAAACTATAAATGAAATTAGTTGGCTCGTGCAAACATTGTTTTACAATAAAAATAATAAATAATTGTTTATAGTTTTGTGTGATTTCAACAAAATATGCAGCTAAGGTTTCTAGTCACACATTTTTTGCTAAACACTATAGTTGTGCTTTCACAGGGAATTTTTCCAATATCTTCTCTATTCTCTAGAAGTTTAAAGTTCCCCAAGAACACCGACGATATCTTGGAGCAATATAAACATTTCCCACATTTATCTATTGATAAACCCAAAGTCATTCCTGCCGGTGGACCTCGGAGATTCAACATAGAATTTTCCTTGGGGTAAGCTTTCTTAAATCATACAGAGACAATTTCGTGATAATCTTATGTAAAGTATAAGATCAAATAGTCATGTTTGGTTTCGAATCACTTATAATAAATTTTGCACCAAAACTATTTATGAATTGTGCTTAAATTTATTCGGGCTTCACTTGGTGTCACCAGTTCTTTGAAGGAGGTGTGGGTTGCAGTCCTCAACATTACTGGTCCATTATCAAATTGGTCATTCGCGAATAATATTGTCCCAGGTGATTCTAATTCCTCTTGCCCATTTCCTGACGTAACTTTTTCCTTCACCACATTCTAAATTTCGGTAAAAAATAAAAAAATAACAGCACCCGTCAAAGTTAGCAACGGGCCACCATCATACATATGCAGGCTGAGCGGCGCAGCCCATGAGAACTGGACTTTCTGGTTGGAGGTAAACTGTCAAAACATGAAACACCTCTCTCTCTCTCTCTCTCTCTCTCTCACAGCACGCACAAAATGTCACTCGTTTTGAATTTGGATAGTTGCGATTTTCGTTATGTTAATGGCGTTTTTGTTTATTAAATAATATCACAGGTGGATGAGTCGGGATCTCTGAGAGTCGATGTTGCTGTAGTTGACTTATATTTGACTGAGCCGGTGAATAAATTGAAAGGCCTTTTCCCAAGTTGGATGGATGTTACTGCATACACGAGTTTCATGTCGTCTTATATCATTTAGTTTTTGGGTCATTTGATTTCGTTCTCTCATTGTAAGCGTGCTAACTAAAGGACTGAAGTCTGAAGGTATAAGTGTCTTGGTGAAAATTTTGCGTAGTGCTGAATTCTTTGTGGTTCGGCAATGAAATTGATGATAATTACTGATTTATATCTCAACTTATGAAGATAAAGGGATAAACTTGTTGCTCAAAACTAAGTTACTTAAGATAATAAGGTACAACAAAAATAACCCGAGTTGAACTGATAAAATCACAGACACAGATAAAATCCGCAATGATAAACTCAAAGTTAAACGCGTAAACTCTGTTCAAATAAGTCATGTACATTTTTTTTAGAAGAGTACCGTCAAACTACATTGTACTTGTAAATTTACCAACATTACACTTGGTTCCACTAACTAATTTTGCTAGCCAAACAAATGGACTTAAAAGGGTATGTTATATACTTTCATGTACATTGGAATTTCTTAGTTCACAAATTTATGAAAGATATAGCACCCACAAATTACTGAATAATGGAAGTTTAACGGGAAAGNAAATCATTATTTTTTAATTAACATTATTGATTAATGAAAAAGGGCACTCAAATTAACTTATTTAAAAATATTATTGATTAATAAAAAAGGGCACTCAAATTAACTTATTTAAAAATATTATTGATTAATAAAAAAGTGCACTCAAATTAAATTATTTCCAACTGCACCACCGTAAGTTGGCAAACTAAAATCTTCACTCTGTGGATTTTGGTATCTACAAATGGGCTCCCTTTACTCTATCTAATAAAACCGAAAGAAGAAAGAAAAATAGCCGGCCCATTTCAACCCAGCAAGTAGCTAGGGCTTAATACTGTGAAAATTATAATTATAAAATAAAAAAAATTTCACAGTCAGTTGTTGCTTAGAAGAAGCAAACCAGAGCTCAGGCGCCGCCGCGAAAAAACAGCTATGGTATATCTCTCGATCATGCGTTTCTCCTTTAGCCGTTGTGTTTTAGCTTTGTGTAATCTCAGTTTTTTTCACCGAATTCTTAACAGGTGAAGTACTCGAGGGAGCCCGACAACCCCACCAAATGTAGGTTTAGTTTTCCGGCCTTCTTCACTCTCTTTTGTCCTTGTTTTAAGCATTTCCATGTATGATTTTTTAGTTATATTTGCTGATTTGGTTTGGTTTATGCTTATTTTAGCCTGCAAGGCTAGGGGATCCGATCTCAGGGTTCATTTCAAGGTAAAGCTCACTTCTTTTCGTCGTATTCTTCTGAATATTTTTGGATTCGTTTGTTACGTTGTATGTGTGTGACGATTGTTTGTGCGTATTGGTTTAATAGTGGTGGAGATCATGTAGAAGTTAAACCTGGTGTAAAAAGCAGGGATCTATTACCTTTTGTGAATTGATCTCTCGTACACATCAGGACATAAAATGGGCAATGTTATTGGGTGAACCTCTTGAGTGTTGTTATGATTGAAGATTCAGTAAGCTATACCGCTGCTAATGCTCTATCTACCTTTTGGATATTTAGAAGCTGGATGAGAATCATTGAATGCTGCTCTTTTTTGCTATCATTTTATTAGGTTAGTTTGGGACTATTTTGTTATACATTATAGTTAACTTGAGCTGATGAAGGACCAAACTAGTTGCTTTTGGAACATGTGTGCTGGCAATCGTTGTTCTGTATTGTGTAGATGCATAAGCACCTTTATTTATTATTTATTAGTTTGATGTCCATAGACCATAGTCTTTGCCCCAGCTGCCCATCTTTCACAATCTCTAACTTAACTAAATTACATAGGTTTGTACAACACTCTTACCCTGTTCATTGCCCTCTATATGTTTTACATGTTTGTGTGAACTATGATAGAAATTTGGTTCTGTCAGTTGATCATTTTTCTTTCTTTTATTCCATTGATTCGATAAGAACTTCCTTGATTTTTAGTTGTGCCCATGTGGACTAGTTAGAAAATAGCTTAAATTATGATTTTCTCATTTAGGGGTGTTCTATTTTTCTTTTTAATATCAAGAAGGCCTTATACTCATGTGATTGCTTTGGAAATCTTTGCAGAACACCAGAGAGACTGCGCACGCCATCCGACAGCTGCCTCTTGTCAAGGCCAAGAGATACTTGGAGGATGTGCTTGCCCACAAGCAAGCAATCCCCTTCACCCGTTTCTGTGGAGGTGTTGGAAGAACTGCTCAGGCAAAGAACAGGCACTCTAATGGGCAGGGTCGTTGGCCTGTGAAATCGGCCAAGTTTATCTTGGATTTACTAAAGAATGCTGAAAGCAATGCCGAAGTACACCCATTTTTGTTTTCTTTCCTATATTTTCTTTGTCATTATTGATATATATTTTATACGATTCTTTGTGATTTATTCTGGCTAAAAATTAACNGGTGAAAGGTTTGGATGTGGATGCACTCTTTATTTCCCACATTCAGGTTAACCAGGCCCAGAAGCAAAGGCGCCGCACATACCGTGCCCATGGGCGAATTAACCGTATGTTGAATGTTATTTTTTTTCCCAATTTATTGGTCAACTTGAAGTTTTGAATCAATTTACAGTAAAATGATTATATTTGTGCCAGATGATGGTGTTTAAGTTTGAGCTACATTAATTTTTCATCTGGAAACTTTAAACTAACATGAAGAATTTCCTGTCACCTTACATTAATTTTTCAACTGGAAACTTTAAACTAACATGAAGAATTTCCTGTCAGCTTACATGTCCTCTCCCTGTCACATCGAGTTGATTCTATCTGAAAAGGAAGAGCCTGTGAAGAAAGAGGTATATATGATGATTTATGGTTTTTTAGTTTCAGTTAGAATAATTTCCTTAATATATGTATAAAATATCTGCTTTTTTCTTGCTTTATTTTGCAGCCTGAGTCACAGTTGGCAGCAAGTAAACCTAGGAAAGCTTGAGCTGTTGGTTTGTTTCCCCATATAATAGTTGTAATAGTTGTTGAACTGAGTTTTGATATACTGTCTTGTCCGTTTTGTTTTGAATCCAAGTTCTGTTATTCACATAGTTTGATTTTGGAGGGTTATTTAATTTATGGAATGGATCTTTTTTTTTTTTCCTGCTGTTATATTATTAAATATGGTACGGTGCTTGTTATTGAACTTATAAACAATGCATTGCCCGTTGAGATACAACTTGTTGGATGCATTGATCTATTCCTTATAAAGAGCTATCAATTATATTCTCTTTAACTCTATGTTTTCATTTTAAATTATTTCACAACCTTAAAGAAATATACTTCCCACCCAAGTTTTTCATAGCTATTGTTAAACTCCTTCAATTGGTTAAATTTAAAAAAGTTGATATGGTTAGTTGTTAGTGGGTATATTAAAATAATATTTAAAATAAAATAATTAAAATTAAATTGATGTAAAAGTATGAGAGAGAAGATGTGATGTGATGGTTAGTTAAAATTATGTGAGTTGATGAACAGTGAATTAAGGTTGATGTTGTGTGTAAGAATGATTGATTGATATTATTTAATTATATTGATAATATTGATGATAGTGAGGTTGAGTTAAAGTTGAGTTAAAAAAAGTGGTTGAGTTAAAAATGATTGGATTTTTTGGGTTAGATTTATATCCAATCATGCTCTAAGAACTTGTGAATTGGTGGATGAAAAACTTATCATTGACATACATTTGCCCATTAAAGATATATTTGTTGGAGTTTGAATAAACATGGTTGATCAATTTTTGTGGTATTTTTCAAGCTATTTATCTGGTTAATCATATTAGTTGAGACAATATATACTATAGATAAACATATGTAAACTACAAATACTACACTTCACCCCACTAATTATTTTTCTAGCCAACTGTCGGGACTATCTATAATTTCTTCATGCTATTATTAATACACTTTTTTTAAGGTCCATATCTGGCTACCTTGCTAGACATCCTTTCTATCTTGCTAGGAAATTGAGTAAGACAACTAAAGGAATGGAACTCAACTAAAAATCACAAGATAAATGCGTAAAAAATTATTAATTAACTCAGATCTCATTTATTTCACCGTGATTGTTTTACAATAAATCCTACATAAAACTTGGATTAGTTAAAATAATATTTTTCCCAAATTACCCAAACTAATATTTTACACTAGCAATAGCAATTGGGCTGGATCCTTTAATAAAATTGGCGGCCCATTTATAACCACATAGATAGATTTCGGCATCTCGCTAGGGTTTAACACCGCCGATTATAAAACCAAACATTTCTTACTCAGCTGTCAGCTCCTCCTTCGAAGCAGAAAACACCGAGCTCTATCTTCTATCCACGCCGCCGGCAATGGTGAAATACTCGAGGGAGCCCGGCAACCCCACCAAATGTAGGTTCAGTTTGTAGGCCTTCTTCATTCTCCTTTTACCGTCTTTAAATATTTTCTTGTATGATTCTTGAGTTATATTTGCTGCTTTCCTTTGTTTTATGTTTGTTGCAGCCTGTAAGGCCCGAGGATCCGATCTCAGGGTTCATTTCAAGGTAAAGTTGTAATCTTTTTGCTATTTTAAACTCTTCTGATTATGCTATGTTCATGAAATTGCTTCCTTCGTCATCTCTTTAATATCGAATTAGTTTATTACGTTGTTTGTGTGTCTGAAGATTGTTTGTGCATTTTGGTTTAAATGGGAGAGAGATTTTGTGGAAGTTAACCTGGTGAAAAAAGCAGGGATCTATTGCCTTTTGTGAATTGATCTCTCGTACACATCAGGGACATTAAACTGTGCGATGTTATTGGGTGAACCTCTTGAATGTTTTGATGATTGAAGGTTCAGTAAACAATGCTATATTGCTGCAGCTTCCAGCTGCTAATATTGTATCTACCTTTTGAATGTTTAGGCGCTATGTGCTGTTTGATAATTATGGATGTGCGGCCATTGTGTTAGGTTATAGTTAGGGAGTAATTTTTTTAGTTCATTAAATTTGAAGTCATGAACTGATGAAGGACCAGAAGTTTCTTCCAAAATTTGTTTTTCGAAATGCTCAATCCGTGTTATACCTTGTGTAGCTGTCTATCTATCATACTTCTCGAAATGGAACTAAAATGCTAGGTTTGTAAAATTCACTCTTGCTGTTTTCCATACTCTAAATAACTTTTGACATGTTCTTGTGAACTATTATAATAATTTAGTTCAATAAGTTGATCATTTGTGTTGGGAAATTGGTAATTATGTTAGAAAAAATACTCCGAATTACGATTTTGTGTATTACTTGTGTTTTATTTATACTTTTATTATATATCTTGGATCTCTTGTACTCATTTGCTTGCTTTGAAATCTTTGCAGAACACCAGAGAGACTGCACATGCCATTCGTAAGCTGCCACTTACCAAGGCCAAGAGATACTTAGAGGATGTGCTTGCCCACAAGCAGGCAATCCCATTCACTCGTTTCTGTGGAGGTGTTGGGAGAACTGCTCAGGCAAAGAACAGACATTCTAACGGGCAGGGTCGTTGGCCCGTTAAATCTGCCAAGTTTATCCTGGATTTACTCAAGAATGCTGAAAGCAATGCTGAGGTACCCCATCTTTGATTTCTTATTTGATATATATGCTATATATGATTTTTGAGATTTACAGTGGTTAAAAAATTATCCTTTTTTTGTGGCAGGTGAAAGGTTTGGATGTGGATGCACTCTTTATTTCTCATATTCAGGTTAACCAGGCTCAGAAGCAAAGGCGCCGCACATATCGTGCTCATGGACGAATTAACCGTATGTTAAATGTTTTTTGTTTATGTTACTGCACATTTTTTGAAGTATTTTATGGTAAAATGATTATGATGTTGAATGCTGAGCTTGAGTTATATTTGTCTTTTTCATTGGAAATTTTGAACTGAACTTGAACAAATTTCTATCAGCTTACATGTCCTCCCCCTGCCACATTGAGTTGATACTTTCTGAAAAGGAAGAGCCTGTCAAGAAAGAGGTATATATCTGAAAATGTGATGTATTTATTATGGTTTTAGTTTCAGTTCAAATAATTTCTTGATGTATTAATGTCTGTTTTTTCTTGCTTTGTTTTGCACAGCCTGAATCTCAGTTGGCAGCAAGCAACAAACCTAGGAAGGGTTGATCATGTTTTGACATATTTGTCTTGTGCCACAGTTTTGTTTTGAGTCCAAGTTCTGTGTTACATCTTTTGATTTTGGAGGATTTATTCAATCTCTATTGTATTGAATTATTAGATATTGTGCAATGCTTATTATTGAACTTATAGATTAAATTGATTTTGCTTCTTTTGTGCATTTTTGTTGTCAATCTGTATCTAGACTTGCATACATTATTAGCTAGGCCATTAAATTGTAACTATATCTAGAACAATGGATAGTAGGTTTATCTTTGTTGGTCTCACCAAAATTTTGCCACTCTTTGCCCCTAGTTTTTCCACTAATATTTAGAAACTTTAGAGCCCATGTGAACTAAAAAGGTAATTAATTGTAATTAAATAGAAAAATAGTAAAATAATTATTGTTAATTGTAAATAGGTGAGTGGAGCGGTGAATGTATGTTAATTTTACTTACAAAAATTGAATTACAGAAAATTAAGGAGAAAATAAAGTGAAATGAATAATAATGTATTTGTGCTTTAAGGAGAGGGGACATATGGGGAGTTTTTGCCTTTCGAAATGAAATGGGTCATTTGGGAGATTATAAGATCACATGATATGATTAGTTAATTTAAAATCAAACTTAATAAAGTAACACCTCTCTAATCAACCTAGCCACACCATACGTGTATATTAAAATAGAATTTCATTTTCTGTGCCCAAGGATATTAATTTCTATTTATACATATAAATCATTGAGACTTGGGGTTATATTATGAAAGATTATTTTATATACATGAAATTAACCTCATATTTATCTCAAAATTAAAGTATTTCCACAAGAGAACAAATCAGCATAGAATATGAATCACAAAAGAAGGAAGGTCCCTGAGTAGTTCTGGATTTTGGACCAAAGACTTCATTATCAAATTCTAATGGACTAACCAATCATATGAGAGTGGAATTTTTGGGATATCACTATCGCATTTAATTCGTGGACTTTATTTTTCTGAACTACAACAATTTTTATTTTTTTAAGCAGTATGGAACAAACTTATCTGTGAGATTATGGGAAGAGTAACATTTTTCATGAAACCGAGTGGAAAATTCCATCAACATTTAATTATATGTTGGTAATTTTCAACGACACTTGGAAAAAAATTAACAGTTTCTGTTTTCTTCATAATAAGTTTTTTTTATTCAAATAAATTTGAATGAATATTTTTTTCTAAAATATGTAGCATAAGTTTTTTTAAGTAGCTTTTTAGAAAAAGTCTATTAAAATTTTTATTTCAGTTGCTAATTTTATCAAATAATTTCAGTCATCGGCTAGCTTTTCAGCTATATTTACATAACATAATATACCCTAAAAAGCATGTGTTACTTGGTGAAATTACTATTTCGATCACCTTCTACGACAAAAATTGGCTCTATCCATTCCCCTGCTTTTGAGCACACTTAAGAAAAAGTCTAAAGTGTGTGTGTGTGTGTGTGTGTTTTGTTGAGGTGTAGATAAAATCTAATTCAATCGTCTGACTCTGACTCAGTCCACTCTCACTGCTTTTAATCTGCGGATCAAATTTTGAGGTGTCCATCTATACTTTTTTCCCTTACAAATATATAAATATTAATATAACTCCCTTTTATTTCGCTTAGCAAACTTAAAGTCTACCACTATTATTCATATCTTTTTGCTCCCATTTTCTTACACATACCGATTTCGTCGCACAACCTTTTTCTCTCAAAACTTATCCATTATCAAAATCTCTCTCCATCTCTTTCTCTATATTTATCAGTGTCTGCAAATTATTACATGTTGTAAACCTTGTCTTGAAACTCCATATCTCAAAGGTACATTTTCCTTTTCTGTTTTTTCTTTTATTTTTTCTCAAAAGAAATGGCTTCATGATGCAAACTAACTACCTTATAAAATACTGTGATTTGAGCCTTGGAAATCGACGTGACAACTTTATATATATATATATATATATATGCGTGTGCCGATCATTTTCTAGTTCGAATACAATGTGAAACGAAAGATTTCGGTCTGAAAATGCCGATCATTTGCTAATTCGAATACGTTTGGATTAATTTCATGCAGGGGCAGCTAATATGGAAGGCGAACGAGTCTACCTTACATCCCTCAGTTTGTATATATTCATATTTTTCATGCACTCTTCTGTTTGCATTACAACCATTCTTTGTACAGAACAAGAAAAGATACAATTTTGTTAGCCATGAGATCACAATTATCTGTTCTATGTAAAGAAACCCGGTAAAAAATTTCAAACATGTGTATCTTCAGTTTAGTCCTGCAAGACAACAACAACAATAATAATAATAGTAACCCCACCATGAAAAATCGTTCGAAAATCCCCAAGTTTACCGAAGATCACTTCCCTATTACCTCACTTTTGCCCGGATTACCCGATGATGTATCCAAATTATGCCTTGCCCTTGTCCCTCGGGCCCACTTCCCGCTCATGGCTGCCGTGAGCAAGAATTGGAGATCGTTTCTCAAAAGCCGAGAATTCAATACCGTTCGAAAACTCACCGGGAAAGTCGAAGAGTGGCTTTATGTACTCACTGCGTACAGTGAAGAAAACCGTTGGGAGGTTTTGGATCGTTCGGGTGAAAAACAGAGTCGAGTCCCCAAAATGCCGGGTCCCGATAAGTCGGGATTTGGCTTCGTCGTTCTCAATGGGAAACTGATAGTTGTTGCCGGTTATTGCTTGACGGTCGAGGGTTCCAAATCCGTCTCGGGAGATGTTTACGAATATGATGCTTGCCTCAACAGGTTTGCTTTTTTTCTTGCAGAACTTTCCATCTTTATTCATGCATTCATTGTAATAATTAATGTGCTTTTTTCAAAAAATTTGCCAGCTGGCGCCAGCTGGCCAGAACAAACGTTCCGCGCCACGACTTTGCCTGCGCGGCGGTCAACGGTGCGGTCCACGTGATCGGAGGGCGTGGGGCCCACGGGGAGTCCCTGTCGAGCGCTGAGGTGTACGAACCAGAACACGACAGGTGGACGGTGATCGAGCCTTTAAAGCAACCTCGTTGGGGAAGCTTCGCGTGTGGGGTCGGGGGAAAGCTTTACGTGATGGGAGGGAGGTCGAGTTTCAGTATCGGGAATTCGAGGTTAATCGACGTTTACGACCCTAAAACGGGGACGTGGGGCCAGATGAAGAACGGGTGTGTCATGGTGACGTCACACGCAGTGCTCGGAAGCAAGATTTGCTGCATGGAGTGGAAAAACGAGCGCAGGCTAGCGATTTTTGACCCGGACGACAAGAGTTCTTCTTGGAAGATGGTCTCGGTTCCCGTGGCTGGAAGCTCGAGTGTCGGATTTCGATTTGGGGTTTTGAACGGAGAGCTCTTGTTGTTTTCGTTACAAGGAGATGATTGTATCCAAACGTTGGCGTACGATCCGGAGGCGGGCCCGGGCTCCGAGTGGCGGGCTTCCGAGATAAAGCCGACGGGCTTGTGTCTTTGTACAGTTACAATTGAAGCTTGAGATGTTTGCAGAAAAAAGATAGAAAAAATTGATTTAAATAAATCATTAGATGCATGCACATATACTTCTTTTAACTATATATAGNAATGTGTTGTAAATATAATTGATGTGCTTTGGGTTGGTTCAAATGGTTTTTTCCAACTTACATGTGGTTGGCTTTGTACTGTGAGCCTCTCTTAGCAAAAGAGATAGTTAAAGGGAGAACTGTAGAAGAAAAGGTGTTTTTGTGTGTGTGTGTGTGTATGACAACAATTTCTGCAGAAAGTGTCTACTTCTTGAATGAAATTGAGTGTTATGATCAATGTGCCTGCAAATCTGCATCATTGTTGTTTTCCTTGTTTCACTTTTTCTGTTTCCTTTTCTTCTCACACAAACCAACATACCATATTTTCATCGTTGGATCAACACATATCCATGTAAGTATGTGTACATGTGTGTGAAAAATTGTAGTCACCGGTAGGATGGATTGCTGCCATAAATGCATACACATCTGAAAGTAGTTGCAGTCAGAAAAATAATCAATTTTCTCAAAGATCAGATGAGTTCATATTCTGAGTTCACATTTTTCAAAAGAAACACAACTGCCTGAAAACAGAGTCGTGCCCTATTCCCATGCAAGCCTGTACATATGAACCACAGCCTCAGCTTTGGTTTGAAGGATAATGTCTGACGTAGAAAACCCATCTAAAAATAGGACACTATATTGTTCTCACACTGCCTGGGAAGAATGAGCCCTAAACAAAATTTGATCCTTTTTCAAATCACCCTTGGAAAAATGAGTATACATATTTCTGAAAGGAATTAGTCTGAACAGTAACAGTAGTTGTATCATAATCCAGGTGAGGTGCACTTTTTGAGTTCTGGACAGAAACACAAATGTTGAATTTCCAGACAGTACAAGAATTACATAGTACAAGCCTGTTTTGCTTCAAACTGCAAAACCCATAGCAACTCCAAAAAGAAAGCATCCATGGCTTCTTAATATATCAAAAAAATTTGTACAAATTCATCTTTCCATTTTTTCCTTTGAAACAAGAAAAGGAAATGACAATCTACAGACCGAGTTTCTTTGGCCTCAAGTAAGTCGATGACCCGGACTTCAACCCAGGCATCGACACCCGTTGCTGCTCCTTCTCCCTCTTGGCCCGATCTCTCTCCTTCCCTTCCTTCTCTCTCATCTCCTGCACTTTCCTCAGGCTCTCCATCTCCTCCTCCATAGCCGTCTTTTCCTGCTTCTGCTTCTTCTTATGCTCCAGCATCGATGTATCCGAGTCCTTGACAGAAAAAAACATCGGCCCAAGCTCCGCTAGCCACTGAGGCTCGACAGCTGTCGCACACTGCATATACTCCTTGCTCGTCAGCACCAGCTCGTGGTACACCACATAATCCGGAGTGTACCCGAGCCCATATATAGCACTACTCGGGTGCAAATGACACGGCATTCCATTCCTACAGTTAACATACTCCCCAACACCTTTCTGCCGAGCAGAGTTGTGAAAATATGCCGAGCATATAGCTTTTCGCACGACATCCCAATCGGGCCCGCATGACGTCAGCGGTATTTTAAGCGTTTTAAGTATGTCGAGCAGCTGTGACCTCACCTCTCGAGCCTTTTTCAACCCCTTCACGTGTAAAAAGTGGTCGTTACACCAATCTCCCCTGTACTGCTTACCTTTCCACTGCTGGTACACGTTGAGTAGCGTCAGGTGATCGGATTCCGGCACGAAGAATTTCTCCCGAGCAGCGTCGCTTTCCTCGACCCGATCCTTGGGCCGGAAGAAAACCGACGGGACCGAAAGCATGGAGACAATCGTCAAAACCTCGTTAAGGCATCCCAGTTTTTCGCCCATCAGAAGCATTTTGGCAAGGGGCGGGTCGAGCGGGAACTCGACCATTTTCCAGCCGAGGTCGGTTAAATCACCGACATTGCTCAACGCGCCAAGAACCCAAAGCTGGTACATCGAGTTGAGGATATTCTCCTGCGGAGGAGGATCCATGAAGTCGAAATCGAGCAGGTTTTCAATCTTGAGGGACTTGAGAAGTAAGACGACATTGCCGAGGTTTGTGCGCTGGATCTCAGGGACAGGGCTCGGGAGCATCTCGTTGAGGTAAGCAGATTCAGTGAAGAGGCGGTAGCAAGTTCCGGGCCCTGTTCGGCCCGCTCGTCCAGCCCGCTGGTCTGCCGCAGCCCGACTAACCGGGAAAACTTGGAGGGCGTCCATGCCCATGCGCGGGTTATAGACTTTGATTTTACCGTAACCCGTGTCGATTACGTAAAAAATTCCATCGACTGTGAGGGAAGTCTCGGCAATGTTGGTGGCCACGATGCACTTTCGAGCCCCGTCTTCGGCCTTTTGGAAGATCTTGGCTTGGAGGTCGGCCGGGAGCTGGGAGTAGATGGGGAGGATTAAAAGCTTCGGGATTTCTTTTTTGGTGGCGTGTTGCTCCATGCGCTCGGCTAAGGCATAGCACGTGGCCTCGATTTCGTCTTGGCCTGTCATGAAGATGAGTATGTCGCCAGGGGGGCTGGTGATGTGGATTGTTAGGGCTTGTTTAACGGCAGCTTCTACGTAGTCTTCGCAGGGTGTTTTGCTGTAGAGGATCTGGACCGGGAAAGTTCGTCCTGGGATGTGGAATATGGGTACACTACACAAAGGGAGAAATAGTAGGACATTAGTGGAGCCATGGTTTTTTTTTTTTTTTTAACTTTTTCTTTTTCGTTGTAACTAACCGAAAGGAGGGATTATTAATTTTTATTTATTACCTCCCAAAGAAATCAGAGAATTTCTGGGCATTAAGGGTGGCTGATGTTACGATGAGCTTGAAGTCACGGCGCCTGGCGACGACTTTCTTAAGGATGCCAAATAGGACATCTGTGCTTAGGGATCGTTCGTGTGCTTCGTCCATTACAACAACGCTGAAGAATAAGAATGAGGATTGAATTGAGTTTAGATGTGTAATAAAGGATAAATTCATGTCCAGACGTTGATGCACGGATTATAAAACACGTACCGATATTTTTCCAGGTCAGCATCTTTGAGAGTCTCCCTCAGAAGCACACCATCAGTCATGTACTGCAAAAGAAAGGTGAATAAGCAATTAACAAATTGTTCAAAATTCTAGAAGAATTTACAAGAGCTACGAGAATTACAGCTTAAAACAAATTAGTTTTTGTGGAACATGTCCATATATGCAGTTCTTAGTAACTAATGGCCATAACTCGTAAGTATGCACGAATAGCCATCAAGCAAAAACAGTAAAGAAGGGCATATTTGAACAACGTAAAGCTAAAAGTAAAGCTAAAAGATAGATCGAATAAAAAAATTGTACCTTAATGACAGTGTTGGGCCCAGTGACATCCTCGAAACGTATTGCATATCCAACTTTATCACCAAGTTCAGTTTCCATCTCCTCACTGACTCTTTTGGCAACGCTCATGGCAGCTACACGACGTGGCTGAGTGCAACCAACAATGCCATTGCTTGTGTAGTCATCCTCATGAAGATACTGCACAACAACTGCACATCAGTCAACCAACAATCACTACTACTGAACAATATTTTTTTTTTCTTTCTTTCTTTTTTCCAAAAAAATGCAGAAAGAATGTCTAACCACAAACCTGGGTTAGTTGTGTTGTTTTCCCTGAACCAGTTTCACCAACTACTACCACCACCTGATTCTCACGGATCACCTACATTTGAGATGAATGAAATTAGCAACAAAAATTCCGAATTAACTCCTTTGGACCCTCTTTCAGCAAGAACAGAAGCAATGCTGCAGTTTACAGAAAATGTAGATGGCTTTCAACAAGGTGTTTTCGTATACATCCACCAACCAAATTGGTAAACTATCAATGGAAAAGGTAAAAAGAAAAACAAATACATGCAGTAACATGGTAAAGGATAAGGCAGAGATACAAGAAATATTATTTACTATGCCAAATAGGAAAAGAGATCGATTTGTGTTGAGAAAGAATAACAAAAAGAAAGAGAACAATATAACATACTTATGATTGATATTTAACCAAATCATAAGGTGTATATAATACACCTACTTTGTCAATAAACATAACCAGACATCTAACATTATATAAAATCTTCTGTGTGGATAAAAAGACATTGTTGCAAACCTGAAGCAACTCCTCTCGTACAGAGAAAATGGGCAGATACTGCCGCTGTTGGGCTAATGTTTTCGATTTAGCGAAATCGCTCACTGCCTCATCCTTCTTTAAATGCTGCGCAAATTTTGCGTCCTCTTTGAAATCAACTTCACCTTCTTCACCCACTTTAGCAGTATCCGCATCAATCTAGTAAATCAATGCAAAACGTAAACATTAAGATGTGTGCCTGCTCAAAATTAAGACAAAGTACAGCATCATCCCAAGAACTGATTCAAATTATGGAAGCAGAGCATATACCTGTTCTGCAGTTTTCTCGACCCCAAGAATTTCACCTAACTTTGAACCAGCGAGCTCCCAAAAACGTTGGCGTGACTTGTTCATGCTCTGTTTTTCATGGATTTCCCTAACCAAATTCGAGCCTTTCCGTGCTATTATGGCCATATCTGATGTAGGGTCTTTTAATGGCATAATTGGCTCGGCTTGCTTGGTGTAAACAATCCTCCCATCGAGAAAAGGAGGTTTTGTATCTGGTATAACAGAGTTTGAGAAAGTTAATTTATTTTTTAACAAGGGTACAAATCGGGTCATCAAACAGTATAAAGGACTATTAAGGGAGTTACCATGTACAAGAAGAATAACTTTCCGTTCTTCCTCATCATCAAACTCAGTCTGCACTTCAGTTCCTCTAACAGCTCCCGATCTCAACAGTTGTCTATCCTCCCACTGAGCATTATCGGCAGTCATCTGTGATAATTTCTTGCTCTGTGCAAGAGTCATCTGGCTTCCATCTTTACGTACCTGTAACCGAAGATGGATATTAATTTAGAGGCAAATAAAATATCAGTTTTGGGACATCAGTAAGAAGTGAAGTACAACACACAGGCACAAGACTGTAAGTTCATACGTGTAGAAAATCTTAAGAGAAGGTACTGCAGTTTGACATGGATAATATCATTTCATGTTCTAGAGTGTAAGGACATAATCACAAGTTCTGAAAATGGCATGGATACGAGTAAATTCATAAAAAATAGAATCCATTATTCGGCAACAGTAATTTCCAGTGGCATATACAAGTACTGGAAAAGTTGGCAGACACAAGAATTCAATGAAGAGTTTACACAATATTAACATAAAAGTATACTTAAGATGGAAATTAGCCCCAAGCTAATTAACTAAACCATCTCAAACTAGAGCCATGTGAAATCATACCAGTCTTTTAGCCAGCTCAGCCTCCTTTTTCTGAAAAGATGCCTCACTACCGAGAAAAGATGACGAGCCATCATCACCATACACATTGCCATCTTCTTCTCGATCATACCTATGACAGGAGATATACCATTCGATATAAGGTCAACACAGAGAATTTGGGATCGTATATCGAGTACCTACTAATATGCCACACTATGATAACCAGCTCAAGGAGAATGGTTTATTTTTAGGCATTGCAATGATTTGCAGCCTCAATATAACAACTTGAATTCCAGTACTCCTTGAAGATATTTGGTTGAAAGATTTATTGAATAGATTCATTTTATATATCAGCATTCTCTTCAGAGCACGATAAGCACTTTAGACAAATCTCTCTCTTTAAATTACTAAATCTAATGAAAGCAACAATCACTGGCTATAGATCACGAAGCATAATCAGATGATTACCAGGCAAGATCAGCCTTGTACTCCATCTCTAACCGCATACTTTCTGATATATCATGATCTTGGTCTTCTGGTAATTTATCAACGCCGTTTTCTCCATCCTTGAACCAGCCAAATGGGAACAGAGAGAAGAAAAATCTGTCAGGTTTATAAAAATGGCACCAAAGTTCGAATAAAAGTTACAGAAGACAACATAAAATCATTTTCTGAAGAGACTTAATACCTCCAGCTTATCCAGAGAGGAGTTGAACTTATTTGACTTTCCACCATATCGGGAACCTACAGACCTAACGGAGGACCCAGAAGCTCGAATCGGAGTGGGGGAAGGAGCAGAGATGTCCCAAGGAGATGCAGGAGCTTCAGAATATTCAAAATACTAATTAGCCATGAGTCAAAGTTCACCTAAAATAACTAATCCCTAGTTACTTCACCTACCCGGAGAAGAAGTACGCCCACCCAACCACGGGGAAACAAGCCTTGCATCAGGAGATGCCCCAACAAACTTGGGGGACGGCCAATGACGTTGGTCTCGGCCTTCACGACGTGGCGTATCTTCCCACTCCCATCGTCCATTGTCCCATTCAGATCTACCTGCAATGCCACGAGTCATAATGTAAAAATGTAAAAATGTAGGGTGGCAAAACACTTTCAAATGTTTGAGCTCTATCAAAAATTTCAACACATCAAATAACCCAAGTGTTAGAAAATATTCAAGACACTTCAAGTAATAAAAGCAAGAAAGTAGACATACTAGGTGATCTCATAGACCTATCGTATCTACTTCTCTTTCGTCCATAGTCTCCGCTGTGCTCTTTTTCTTCACCACGGGATCTCTCTCTCAGGGTCCTTCCTTCCCTGTCAGAATCATACCTATGTCTTGATGATCTGCTTGAGCTTCTGTGATGGTTCCCATTATTGCTTCGGTTTCGGTCATCGTATGTGTTGTCAGAAAAAGAATTCCTACTCCTGGAACTCCCGCTAGATGAAGTTGAGACCTGAAATGATGCTAATGAGTGTTAGTTACTAATATTTGGAACAGCTTATCAATTCACAAATGGACTAATATAAAGGATAACAATTAGGAGAACCATGAGGCTACAAAATACCTTAACATGATCGTCAGGATGATGCTGAGGAAGTGCTTCGTTAGTTGGTATGTCTTCAGTCATAACACTCCCTGAAAGCACAAAGTAGACGTAGCAAGCATGTGAAAAGAAACAAAGTACTGCAACCAGATGTTAAATATTAACTATAAAGAAAAGGAAACACTGATATACAGCTTCCAAGTCAGCAAAAGGTAGACATGTCAAAATGGGCCGGAGGGGCGGGCCGGCCCGCAGCCAGCCAAAACCCGCCGTTTGGCGGCGGGCCGGGCCGACCCACCATCCAGGCAGGCCTGCTAAAGGCAGGCCCGGCCCACCCCCTCCACGGGCTGCGGGCTTGGCAGGGTGGCCCGCCCGCTCAATTTATTTAA